AAACCATTACATAACATTTTACTCTTTGAATTCAAATCTTTATGTCCACCGAAGAAGGAACTGTTAATACTACCCCTGCTCAGGAAGTCGCTTCTCCTAGTACTTCCTCTCAAGTGTCATTCTTGTCAAGTCCACAAGACTCAATGGCTAGCAAGCATGCATCACATCCAACTCCCATGGAAGAAGATAATCCGTTGATGGTCTCCTCTGCTAGCTCCACTGTTAGTAATAACACAACGGAACATATGTTAGAATCAAGTCTTGAGGTTCTACAGTCTTTAAAAGAGCAAGCAAAGGTGTTATTTGGTAAGTACATCATCTCAAGCCAAACCGACACTGGTTCTCCTGCTGCTCTCACTGCGTATTCCGAATATGAAACCATGGAAAGACGGTATAATCAAGCCAAATTAGCTCATAAGTCGTTTGTGGAAATGTTCTCTATTGAAGATGAAACCAAAATAAGCAAGTCTGGTGTGAATGACTCCCCCTCCACCCGTCTTGTGGTTCCTCAGGATCTCCCTGCTCTTCAATTAAAAGGTGAATCAGTCTGGCGTAAACGAAGCGAATCTTTTGATAGTGCATATGACTTCTGCAACACTTTTGAAAATGTCCTTCGTGCTCATGGTCTTGCCTTAAACTCCAATTGGGAACGTCTCTTGCCTCTCTGTATGAATGCAGAACAAGTCTCCTGGTGTCGTGAAGCATTGGTGGATAGGAACCTTCAGTGGAAACAAGTTCGTCCAATGCTTCTCAATCATTTTGACACGCCGTACCGTAAATTCTTGCTTATGGTAGAGCTTAGCGATATGAAGCAAGGTTTCCATGAATCCAATAGGGAGTATGCAAATCGATATCAGAAGTTAAGAAGAGAAGCCGGAATGCAAGACAATACTCACCTTGCTGTAATGTTCTTTGCTTCATTGAAACCGAACGTTAAGTCTATGATGCAAGTTGCCTTATCCTCTCACTTTGGTACGACACTTCCTACGTCTATAAATCAAATAGTTGATCTTGTTCTTGCTTCTGGTGAAGACTCTCTGTTCTCCTCTAAATCTCCCTATAAACGAGCACGTAACTCGTATGCGGAGGTGGCTTCTCGTGATCTGAACAACACTAGTAAAGTATCTTCGGGTACTAATAAAGTGTCTTCTAATAAATCACCTTCTACTCCTCTTCGTAAACCCACTTGGATAAATAAGCCTTGTGCGTTCTGCAATAAACCCTGGATGAAAGGACATAAGTGTCAAGAGTTTCTTGATGCAAAGAATCAGGGTAACATAAGCAAAACCTCTCGAATGGCGATTCGTACTGCCAATAAGTGCGATGAAGAAGACAATATAAACGGTCAATTAAACCGTATGGCTCTAGATTGTAAGTCTAAAAAAGATAAAGAAATAGTCATTACTCGAGATTTTAAGGGTACTAATGATAATTCTATAACTTTTCCTATCCTTGTGAATAATAGGAAGGCCATGACCATTTTAGACACGGGTGCCAATTTTTCTTCTGTGAATAAAACGTACTGCTTGAGAAATAATATTTCTTTTTTTAATAATGTGCAAAATAATGATGTCATAAAGTTGGCTGATTCTTCTTCTTTTATTAAAAGGATTGGTTATACTAAGTTAAACATCAAGTGCAATGGTAAAAGTTTCACTCATATTTTTGAAGTAATGAATCTAACAAATAATCATGATTTGAGTATTGGAACTGATCTTATATCTAAGCTTGGTATTGGTTTTGTAGGTCTTCCTTATAAATGGAGTGACAATGATACAGATAGTAACAATAGTGACCAGGATTGTAAACGTTCTTATGATGATTTCAGTGAACTCTTAACGGAGGCTGATAATGAACTGTCAGATTATGAAAACTGTCCTGCAGGTACTGCTGATGAATATCAAAAAGCCTTGGATGCGATTAAACCATTAATTCGATTGAATCAAGACATATCTAAAGGTTCATTTTGTACTATACCTGAATCTATTGTCTCAATTGAAACTCCAGTCGATGTAACATCTTTCAGACGTCCTTATCCTATCGCTTTAAAGTATCATAAGGTAGTTCAGGATCAAATTGATGAATGGTTGGAGAATGGTGTCATTAAGAGAGCTCCTGCTAACACTGAGTGGAATTCTGCATTGACTGTAGTAAAGAAGACCAACGCTAAGGGAGAGATAACAGGATATCGTGTGTGTCATGATCCCAGACATATTAATACTCTTCTAAAGTCAATTGATCGTATGCCCTTGCCTAAAATTTCGGAAATATTTGAAGAATTGAAAGGTGCATCTGTCTATTCCACGTTAGATCTAAAATCAGCTTTTAACTCATTGAAACTAAGGGATGATCATGCCCATAAGTTAGCATTTTCATGGAACTCTGTCCAATATGTCCCTATCGGTACACCTTTTGGTTTAAAGCACGTTTCTAGTGTTATGCAGAGAACCATGAGTATCGTCCTTGAAAACATGCCATTTGCTAAATGCTTTGTTGACGATATTGTCATTGCCTCTAATTCAATGGATGAACATAAACTTCATGTAAGTAGAGTAATAAATAAACTCACAGAAGTAAATCTCAAGTTAAATCCTGATAAGTGTAAGTTCTTTCAACATAAAATTAGTCTGCTAGGCTTCAGAATATCTCCTAAAGGTATCTCTCTTGATCTTTGTAAAGTAGCTAATGTGAAGGAATTCCCTGTACCTCAAACAGGAAAGGATATAATGAGATACTGTGGACTCATAAACTACTTTAGGCCCCATATCCCTAAGGCATCCACGTTATTAGCACCTCTGGATGCGTTGAGAAATGTAAAATCTTTGACTAAGGTGTGGAACAGTAAACACCAAGCCTGCTTTGACAATCTAAAGAAAGTGCTACAGGAGAATGTCTTAATCTCTTATCCTGATTTAAATGAGCCTTTCTATGTTGCCACCGATGCCTCTAACATTGGTGTGGGTGTAGTTCTATATCAAAAGATTGACGGGAAGATACGCTATATCTCCATGATGGCGAAAGGTCTTTCTAAAAGTGAACGTAACTACTCAGCCACTAAGCGAGAACTACTAGCAGTTGTGTATGCTTTAAAGAAGTTCCATAAGTACCTGTGGGGAAATCACTTTACCCTTTACACAGATCATAAGGCACTTTCCTATCTACACACCCAGAAAATCGCCAATGCAATGCTTATAAATTGGTTCGATACGCTGCTCCAGTATGATTTTAAAGTCGTTCATTTGCCAGGTATTGATAATATCCTTCCTGATACGCTATCCCGTCTATATGAAATCGATGAACCTGGCAATGAACTGGGAGGGGATAAAGCTCGCTTTTTGAATAGAGCAGCTAGTAAACTACCTAGTGAAGATAGTGGTGAATATATGACACCTCCTAAAGAAGAACGAAAGTTAATTCTTCTACGTGAGCATCTTAAAGGACACTTTGGTTCTGATGCAATTTACCATGCTCTAAAACGTAAAGGTATCTACTGGAATAACCTCAAAGAGGACGCTGTAGAACTTGTTAAGAGTTGTACTCCCTGTCAACAATTTAACATCATCAAGAAGGGTTATAATCCATTAAGGCCCATTACTGCTAAGTTGCCTGGTGATAGTTGGGGTATTGACCTTGCTGGACCTATGAAGACTTCACTCTCTGGTAACAATTATTTACTTGTGATGGTTGACATAGCTACACGTTATTGTGTTTTGAAACCCTTGCCCGATAAGCAGTCTATGACGATTGTAAAGGCTTTAATCGATGTTTTCTCAAACTACGGCTTCCCACGTATAATCCAATCTGATAATGGAGGTGAATTTGTAAATGAGCTTATGCAGTTGCTGGCTGAAAATGCTGGCTATGATCATAGACTCATCTCTAGTTACCATCCAAGAGCTAATGGAGTAAGTGAACGTTGGGTACAATCGGCTGTAAATGTAATAAAGAAACAAATCGAGGGTGCTAAAGCTGACTGGGATTTATATGTACCATCTACACAACTCTTCTTAAATGGTAAAGTAAATGAACGCACTAAGACGCCACCTTTTACTTTAATGTTCGGTCGCAACATGAATGACTTTGAAGATTATAGTCAAGAAAAAAATGAGGCAACTAAGGAAAAAATAAACAGTGAACTCCTAGCAAATATAAAGCGCTTAACGGAGATTGTATTTCCTGCCATACATGAACGAACACAAATAATAACAAACAAACAGAAAGTAAGGTTTGATGCGTCACATAAGCTTATAACGATCCCTGAAAACAGCTATGTAATGGTAAAAGTAAATGTAAAGACCAATAAGCTAGATCCTGATTATCAAGGCCCTTATAAAGTGAAAAGAATTACTCAAGGGGGATCGTATGTATTAGAAGATGAAATGGGTGAATTATTACCTAAGAATTACCCACCTTCTGCCTTAAAACTTATCTCTCAAGATGAGCTTATATCTACAGACAAGTTCTATCAAGTGGAAGCCATTCTGACACATAAAAAGGAAAAAGGTAAATATCTTTATAAGTGCAGATGGAAAGGTTATAGTAAAAGTGACGACACATGGGAACCTGCTTCCAACTTTGCTGATCCTAAATTCATTACTGAATACTGGCAAAGAATTGGCATAATACCTGAAGATATTAAAAAGAAGTATAGTATGAAATCTAACAAAAGTGAATCTACTGACAATGTAAGTACAATAAATTCCAAATCGGGTAAAAGAAAGATGTCCTTAGATCTTAATGGAAACAGCCATTCTTCTACAACATATAAAAGAGTTAGTAAAGGCTATAATTCCAATAAAAGATCTAAACGGCATTGAACATACCTGGGAGGGGATTATGTCGTAGAACAATGTCTGCTTAAGCACTGTCATTGAGATAAACGATTGTAATCGGTATGAATAGAGTGAACTCATACATGATAAGATTACGTG